AGTACCCCATCCTCAAATCTGTCCCCACATCAACTGCCTGCCATCTCTACAACCCCAGTTTGACCGTCATCTACATGCTTAAAGGTCCTCGGTAGCTACTCACAGTTTATATTTTGAAGCTGATATTCCTTAACATGTTATGCAGGTCTCAATCCCAGGCGAGTGATGTTTACATTTGAAATGATGGAGCAGAACAGGTTGACTGAGAGAGTATGGTGGGAGAAGAATTCTCTAGGAGGTGCCCGGTAGTCCTGGAGGACTCCACTGACCTAGTGTCTTTGTACCTATGCATTCTGAGTGATAATAATGGCTCTGGGTGCGGAAGTACTTACCAGACAGGTTTATTATTATTGTTGTTATTATTACTATTGTATTTATTTACTCTGTGTATTTATATGTTGCATATGTGTATTTGTGGGGGTACATGTGAGACGTGGCACATGTGTGGCAATCAGTGGACAGCATGAAGGTTTTCATTTTCTCCTTCCACCATGTGAATGTCAGGCATCAGGCATGGCAACAAGTCCCTTAACCCACTGAGTCATCTCTGCAGCCCAGAATCAAGTTCTTAACTTGAAGATGCATCATGAATTCCTGGAATATTCCAACACTCCTAAGTGGGTTTTCTGTTAGTCCTGTTTTACCATGAAGAAACTCAGGTTTATGGAGTTTGTCATTGCTGTAGAGCCCACAACTAGTGTGTAACAGAACTATGCATTATCTCAAACTTCCAGAACCCTCCACTCCATGCTATGCACATCTGCAGAGACAGTGGAGCTGCCCATTCATAGACCCAGACTTCCTGTTTTGTCACCCCACCCTTTAGCTGCCATCAGGCACCTCTTCTAAACACAGCCTGGTACACACTGTTTGGGCCCAGTCTTCACCCTGCTCCACCCCTGCCTCAGCCCTTGCCTGCCTCACACCAACGTATCCTTCAGTACCTCCCATAGTGCTCCACTGGTGCTTCCCTGGGGGCCTTGCTAAGCACCCCGCTCCTTGCTCCCAAGGCATCCCTTGTAACACTTATCACATCACACTGCGGCCTAACTTATCTCTCTCAGTAAGACTATGGGTCCTTTGTGGCAGAGACCAGATCAGCTTTGTCTGTCTCTTCTGGTCCTAGCTGGAATCTAGGATGGAGTAAAAGCTTCATAACTATCTGTCAACCTGAATTTGCTCAGTGTATGTCCAAACTGGGAGGCTGAGGTAGCTATACCTATAGACATTGCAATATACTTTGAGATATAAAGAACCTACACCTATCATTTCATGTCATCTTCTGAAGCTGATGATAATGTTCCCACAGATGAGGAAACTGATGTTCAGTTTTCTCACGTTAGCGCAGCCAAGAAGTGTTCAGGCTCGGATTTGACCTCATGTCTCTCTGAGTCCAAAGTTCTCTCCCTCACTTCCCAGATCACATCTGATCCAAACAACTTACACATTTTACCAAGGGCACTGTAACTGAGAGAGATAAGGTGCCGGCTGAGGGTCATCCTGTTTGTACCCCGTTCTGTGCTCCTTTCTTCCGCAGGACACGGCCAGCAAGGTGACAAGGTGAGAAGAGGGTCCTGGACAGGACCAGCGTATGCTGCCTCTGTCTCTTCCCATTTACTCTCTCCCTGTGTGTCACAACCTGAATGTTTAAATTTTGTATTTAGTATTTACTCTGAAATGGCTTTCATCTGATTTCCCCCTTGCTCACCAATTTAGCTGTCAGAGTAAATAAATGTGAGGCTGGGTCTCCAGTCTCTCCAGCTCACATTACCTTCCTAGAATTACTCCCGGCGGGGTGGAACCACTGCTGGGGGCCTCCCACAGAATTATCCGGTTACTAATGAAACCCCTTTTCAAGCCCAAACCTTCAAGGACAACAGAGTCTCAGGTGGGGGGAGGATGGCAAATCCACCTCAGAGGACCAGATGACCATATCCTGTTAGAGACCAATGGGAGCTGAAATGATGACATTAAAGATGCCTGGTACTTACGTAGCTCTAGAATGGAGCCCACATTTGTAAAAGTATTAATTAGTATTTAATGTGCGGTTAGTTTTCACTTCATCCCTGAGGGGTGAGAATGGTTAGCCCCGGTGCAAGTTGGAAAACTGGAGTTCTGAGAGGAAAGTGACCTGCCCACAGTCTCCTGCAAGAGGAAAATGAGTATCTGTCTGAGCAGACTAAATGACTTGCTCTAAGTTTGTCAGTCTGGCTTCATTCTGCTGCAGGACTCTGGGCTTGTGGGAAGGAAGATTTCTTGTCTGAAGAGATTTCATTTTTGTCTTTGAAGTTGGATATGCTCTGGGCTAGAATAATGGGTCTGCTGCTCTTTGGGTGAGTTATTCAGGAGAGCTTTTAAGTGTTTGAATTATGCCCTGCCTAGCCCAGAAAGAATCTGAAGTAGGATCCAGTAGAAGAAACACTACCAAATCTGGTGGGTCCATGCCACGGTGGCCCCTAAGATTCAAGGGATGGTTACTGTGTGACAGACATTCCGAGTCACCGGCATCTGTTTCACAGTGTGGTGGGGCTGTGCTTAGGCGATGGACTCTGTTAACAGCCCCACCTAGCAGGGGAGGAAACTGAGGCTGAGGGAGTGAATGAAGTTACTTGCTAACCCAAATAGTAAGGGGCATTGTGGAGGCTGGCACTGAGGTATCAGCCCTCAGCCTTCTGACTTGGGTACTGAGTTTCCTCTTCTCTCTTGTTCTAGTTTTGATTTTTCTGGGGATCTGGTCAGAATCCAGGTGTGGAGCTGCGTGCAGAGAGCAGTTTCTGCTCAGAGTGCCAAGACTCAAATCTAGATTCCAGTCAACATGGGCACTGTATTATTTTCATAGAGTCACCAGAGGATTGAAGAGGATGGTGCACTCAGAACAGAGCTAAGTCACACAAATGGTGATTGTGCCTTTGTTGTAGTCATTGCTGTCACTCTGGGAGCACGCACTTCTCACTCCTCATAGCAGGGGCAACCCCTGTTTGCTGTCGCTAGACCTTTGCTGCTGTTTCTCTACCCAGGACTGGTCTTATGTCTCCCAAACTATGTAAATCTCAATTGCCATTTTGTTTCAGTTGATCTTGCCTTGCCTAAGAAACTGTGGAGGATCAACACAGCCTTCAAGCCTTGTCTTTTTGGGTTTCTATGCATGCCCCCTACTGGGTGTTGCCCTCTGGACTCTCCAGGCCCCGGAGAGGAGAGGAGAGGAGAGGAGAGGAGAGGAGAGGAGAGGAGAGGAGAGGAGAGGAGAGGAGAGGAGAGGAGAGGAGGAAGGAGAAGGAGAAGGAGAGGAGAGGGAAAGGAGAGGAGAGTAGAAGGAGAGAAGAGAGAGGAGAGGAGAAGGAGAGAAGGGAGAGGAGAGGAGAGATACAAAGACAGTAGTACTGCTGTTTTTCTGTTTTTGCTAATGAGCCAGAAGTCATATCCATATTTTTGACAAAATATGGAAAGTGTGTGTGTGTGTGTGTGTGTGTGTGTGTGTGGACATGCTCACCATGAGTGGTCATAGTCATGGGTATAGCATAGAAATCAAGGTCATAAGCTCTGTAGGTGAATCTGGTTTCGAGTTCTTGGCTCAGGCAGTTAATAGCCATGTGGCATTATGATGGTCATGAGTTCTTCAAACCTCAATTTAAAATGGGTAAAATGGGTGCCATAGGGAATGCTGCCTCACACAGAAAATGAGAGCATTTTAATGCCTATTCCAGATTAAAGTATCCAAGAATAGAAGTGTGTACGTGTACATATGTGTGCATGTACACACCTTACCTACTTCCAAAGTGTAATCTGTTTTCCTTAGTGTAAAAGAGTGGTTCAGAACCCTTCTCTCTAAATGCCTGTACCTGAGAGCAAGAAATCACTGGAATGCAAGGGCTGATGCCATTAGCTAGGGCTGATGCCAATAGCTAGGGCTGTTTCTGCTGGAAGGGACTGATAGGCGTCTCTGATGCTTCAGAGATGGGTTCTTAGTGTGTGGTGGTGTATAGAAAAGGTTCTCAATGTGTGTTTCGGGCTATGCCTTCTTGTGCAGATGGAGACTGACAGCTGGGAATGATGTTCTTCGCAAAAGTGTACGTTGCTTTCCCTTAAGCCTGGTGCCTGGTTTCCCTGGGTCACCACCTGTAAAAATGCAGAGCATAGTAGGAAATGTCAGATAACAGACAAGAGGTTACATGGGATCTGGAGCTCTGTGGGAGCCGGGACTCTCCTGAATATGACTGTGTGTACAAGTATAAGCGTGATTGTGGGACACTGTTTACATCTGTAAATGAGGACAATTACGGAGATGGTGGTCTCTGTGATGGGTGGGTTGCTGTGCTATGCAGGCTGGGTCTAAATCTGAGTGTGCACGTTTTAAAAGAAGAGAATACATATTTACACACTTCTTTTGCACAGTTTGTGTGTGAAGAAGGAGACTGAGGTTTATAGCAGTCATTTGTGTTTATCAGTGTAAGGATCTTTGAGTTTGAGGGCTCTGTGTTTGGGGGGCTGTGCCTCCTATCTACATGTCTAGGTCTCTGCCTTTCCCTAACTTTCAATATTGCTAGAGCACCATAGAAGGTAGAAAGTGTAGCGAAGCGAAGTGAAGGTGGATGTCCCCAGCAATTCCTTAGGGGAACTACCCTCCCACTGCCACCAACACACTCTGTTCTGACCTCCGTTCTAGTCAGTCCTTAGGAGCTAGTATAGGCTCTGGTTGTTCTGGAGCAGAGATTATCTTTGCAGGAGAGTGAGGAGTGTGGAGATGTCCGGAATCTGAGGGATTGGTGTTAGCAGGTAACCATTTGCAGCCACATGTACACAAATGTGCCGGGCTCGGCACGGTATCAACAGAGTGTGGCTTCACATGGAATCCAGCTCTGCAGATGGGCTGACCACGGATTCCTCTCGCACTTACGAACCGGCTGTGCGAGGGCAGTGGGTGCCCTTGAGGGAGAGGCGGTAGTAGGAGCTGTGAGGATGTAAGCCCGCCAGTGTCTTTGTATGTTAGCATGTTCCCAGAGTCTCTCTGTAGCGCTGAGTTTCAGCGTGTCTCTCTGTGTGTATGTCTCTGAGTCTCTGCCTCCTTGTGAGTGTCTCGCTCTTCTTAGCGGGGAGGGGATTGGTCACGCATGACTCATCTTGAACGGAGCGGGGCTCCAGCGGCAGGGCGGTCGTCGCCGCAGCTGGAAGGGGAGGAGGACGAAGAGGAGGAGGAGGAAGAGGAGGAGGAGGAAGAGGAGGAGGAGGCAGCAGCGGCAGCCGCAAAGGCAGCTGCAGGGACCTCTCCAAGTTTGTCGGGACCTTCTTCGGAGGAGGCAGTGGCGCCGGCAGCCAGGGAGGCCGGGACTGCGTTCAGGCCGGGGGCGGGGGCTGAGGCTGGGCCCCGGGCTGCGGGGCCCGAGCCTCTGCTCTCCAGCTCTCTCAGCAGCCTCTGCCCCCAGGGCGCCCGAGGCCCCCCTCCGCGCCGCTCGCGGTGCTGTGCGCCCGCAGAGCCCTCCGCTTCCGTGCCGATGTACTGGAAGCATGAGAGCGCCGCCCCGGCACTGCCCGAGGGCTGCCGCTTGCCGGCGGAGGGCGGCCCCGCCACTGACCAGGTGAGCTAACTGGAGAGTGGGTGAGCCTCTACGGTCTCGAGGCCAGCGGGAACCAGATTCAGATCCGCCGGGCCCAGTGGCGGGCAGTAGCAGGGAGGAGGGGTGCTGGGTGAGCCCGAGGAGTGTGTGCCTGCGAGTGTGAGAGCGCGCGAGCGGGTGCGGGGGGGGGGGGGGGTCGCGGAAAGCGGGAACACATTATGCAAATGTTGGAGGAATTTCTCAAAAAGCGATTTAGCAAAGACATAGGCGAATCAAGAGGAGGCGAGGCCAGTATTGTCCGTCTGAATAGGCGCTGATAGCGCCGATGCGCCAGGGGTTGTGCCGGCGCAACGCTGAGAATCCCGACGCCCGGCCGGTCCCGGGCGCTCCGAGAGTCTGGAGGGTTCTCTTTCATCCTCCAGGAGGCCTCTCTTTTCTCTTTTTTGGCCTCATTTCATTTGCCGATCTCGCCCTCTTTGGCTCCAGGCTTCCCTTGGACTGGCCCTTCCAAAGGCGTTTGAATCGGTGTCAATATCCCCGCTTCAATTTCGCGGCGCGCGTCGGGCGGGAGGGCGGATGCTCCCAGTGCTCTGGGTTTTATTTTTCTCAACCACCACCACCACCACTACCACCACCACCCCCATCTCCTTTTTATTTTCTTTCTTTCTCTCTTTTCTCCTTTTTGCATTTTGTGCCTAGAGTAGGAGAAGGGAGGGGTGAAGGGAGAAAAAAATTCGATTTTTAATTACTACCATTAAAAAATCAAATTTGCAATTCTTTGGGCGGCCTGATGGATCTCACTGATTGACAGTTGGAATTGACACTCTGGCTACCTCTTATCTTGGGCATTCACGACAATTTCTAATTGCAGGTAGTTTGTGTGTGTGCGTGTGTTTTTTTCCCCCCTCAGAGGCTTGGATTGCAAAGGAACTAAGCGATTACTTCAAGAGCCACGGGTTAAGTGCAGGGAGAGGGGGAGAGAGAGGGAAAAAACCCAATCCAAATTCAAATTGCTTCATTAGAGAGACACCGCTTTTGTGGGGAAGGGCTTTAAATGCCCACTACAAAGTTAGGACTCATTGTTCGCCGCCGGTTTATATAACAGGCGCGGGGAGGCGCTGGGCTCTGACAGCTCCGAGCCAGTTCATCAGCCGCCGTCGCCTGCATTCCCTCCCCCTCCCCCAGGTGATGGCCCAGCCAGGGTCCGGCTGCAAAGCGACCACCCGCTGTCTTGAAGGGACCGCGCCGCCTGCCATGGTGAGTCCTTTCGGCTCTGCTTTCGGCCCCGAGTTCCCCCAAGAACACAGGCCAGGGCATCTCTGGCTCAGTCTTCTGGCTATCAACCTCTACCCCTGCGCTGGAGAATTGCCGATAGGAGCCGCCTCTCTTTGAACCTTGCTTTTTCTGGCCTGGAATGTGGTCTTTGGCTACTTTCTGCACCCAGGATACACTGTGTTAAAAGTTGGGGGCCGCCCCTTCTTCTCCAATAGGTCCTTTCATTCTTGTCCTCCAGCCTAGGGCGAGACATCCCTGGCACATTTCTTTGCCAGTTGGTGCGCAAGGGAACCAGATTTGTCTTTACGGCAACTCTGGGTGTCCGACTTAGTGCGCTTCGCTTCCTCTTTCCCATTTTAGGCTCAGTCAGACACCGAGGCCCTGGCAGGCGCTCTCGACAAGGACGAAGGTCGAGCCTCCCCATGTACGCCCAGCACACCGTCTGTCTGCTCGCCACCTTCTGCCGCCTCTTCCGTACCGTCTGCAGGCAAGAATATCTGCTCCAGTTGCGGTCTCGAGATTCTGGACCGGTATCTGCTCAAGGTGAGTCAGGATAGGTGTTGCCTGCACGTCGGCGAGCGTGAACTGCAGCAAAATCCTGGGGACCGCAGGGAAGCAACGCCCTTGCCAGGTCCATTTTATTTGGCGTCCTAGTTCAGCAGCTGATGGATTGAGCAGCTTTGGTCAAGTGTGGGAGGTCTCCTTTTGCCCTGCGTTTCAACTAGAAAATAGAGTGTATTTCAATTTCCTTGAGCCTCCGTATTATAGAAGAAAACTAGGCAAGCCATACGCCCCTTCTGAGCTTCAGTGTCTCTCTCTGTAAATGAGGCTGGGGAGGCTGGGGGCGGGAGTGAAAGAGGCCCGCGCTGAGCCGACCCCCCTCCACCTCCGCCCCCTCCCCAGGTCAACAACCTCATCTGGCACGTGCGGTGCCTCGAGTGCTCCGTGTGTCGCACATCGCTGAGGCAGCAGAATAGCTGCTACATCAAGAACAAGGAAATCTACTGCAAGATGGACTACTTCAGGTAGGCTGCGGCGGTTGGGCCAGGAAGTGCTGGTGCACGCAGGTCTAGCACAGGCGTATCTAGGCTACTAGTGTGGCCTGTGTTCTCCCATTCCTGAGCACTGCCGTCCCGAGCGCAAAACGTGGCTGGGGCACTGGCCTAGCCCTCCTGCTCTGCACGTCTGCTTAAACAGAAGGCTCCAGATAAAGAACCGGTACTAGCACGAATTCGGGTGGACGATCTGCCTCGGGTTCCTGCAGTCTGACGGACCCCGGTCGTGGTTCTGGCTCGGTCTGTGGTCTTTTCAGAGTCTCGGGTTCCAGTTGTGATTTATCGAGCTTTGACGTCCGTGGTTCTGGCCGGGATGGGTCCGGCTCTTAGCCACCACCCGTCTGCATCTCTAGCTTTAGTTACAACTTGAAAGCAAGTTGTGCCGTGGCCTGTCCTGGGAGGGATCCTAAGTTAGGCTCGGGACTCTTGTTTTAGCTTTGCTTGGCTCTCGGTTTGGGGCTCATATCTGCTCCAGCCCCAAGCTCCAATGCCACATCTCCAACGCTAGCCCAGCTCCTTGGCACTTAATCTTAGGCACCAACCTCGATATCTGCCTCTGCCTCAACTTATGCGGTGATCGCTTTTTGAATCTGGGTCATGACTAGGTCCCAGACTCCTGTTCCCCCCACTGCTCGGCCATCGTTTCTGTCCAGGCTTCAGCCCTGCCTAGGTTTAGGTTCTAGCTCTGGGCCCCCAGACCCGCTCTCGCTTTCAGAGCGCGGCGTTACATTCTACCTGGCTACACTCTGTGCTGCTGCGGTACCGAAAGCATGTTCCCTAGCGGCTTATGATCCATCGTTGCTGGTTGCGTGGTCTCGCAGGGCCTTGACCTTTCAAACTCTTGCAGGCCCCTAGTTTGTAGGCACACAGCAGGCGCCTGCTGACCGGGCCACGGGTCGAGGTCAAGGCAGTGCCCAGGGGCACGACGAAGGATTTGCCAGATCTAGGCAGGAAGTAGAGAATCTGCTGGAGAATGATGTGGAATTGGTTCTTCGGAGCAATGCCTTCTTTCAAATGTTTTCCGGAAGTGGATAAAGCTGCCCTATGATATACATTCCCCTACACACAGACACAGACACACACACAGACACACACACACAGACACACACACACACACAGACACACACCCTTCTCTTTCAAGAGAAGTCCTGCCTGATTCAATCTTCCAGGGAGGACCTCGGTTCCAGAAAGCTTATAAGTCAGGGAATGTGGTGGGTGGCCACCCTCAGACTCTTTGAACCTCCAGGGACCTGGAAAGAAGTCCTTGAACCTAGGGGGAAGTTAGCAGCATGTGGGACTGCAGTTCTCCAAGAAACCAGGAGAAGCAGCCTTTTCCTTCATGTTGTGGGTGGGGGTGCTCTGCCTGCCTGCCCTTCAGGGAGTCTATACGGTCTGGAATCTGCAGTGGTGCTGAAGACATGTCATTGAGCAGGGTCAGGGCATATGGACAGTGGGTATGTTCCGTTATAGAAAAACGTGTGCCTTGCTATTCGCAAGTGAGCCATGACAGCATAGGTCCTGCGCGTGACTATGGAAACTTTGTGCGTGCCCGGCCGGCCCCCGTGGTTTGCAAGGTGCTCAGGACAGGGGGCACATCTGGATGGGGATGTGGGAGGGCAAGCTGGGGTAAGAGGATTGGGACTTCATTTTCCCCCAGGGGTAAAGGTGGGTGTGAAGACAGAGCTTTCAGCCGAACACTGCTGTGCATGTATGCCTTGTGTGGTGTGGAACAAAAGGATGAGCTCCTCTGTCTGATGTTTTATTGATTTAGTTTGGACAGAAAATGTATATTACAGCTGTTTTTTAGTCACTTTCTGCTCTAGGCCTAACTCCTATTAGGGAGAGGGGAGAAAACTGTTTGGGATCCCTTTGAACAAGTCAGCTACCAGGGAGCTCAAGAACCCACCAAGCCAGTGTCTAGGCCTTGCATTATAGAATAATGGCTGGGCAGGTGCCTTCTTCTGGCTGTTCTGATGACAAGGGCCGGGATAATCTTACCAACCTTATCCTGTGTCGGAATTCCTTCCCATTTTCTACATGCTGACTTGAGACTCCTTGGGTGTCATGCTCTCCAAAAGCTTGAAGGACTCGCCAAAACTAGGCTCTTGATCCCATCATTTATAGCCCCCACCAATCCCTGTTCCACTGAACTAGGGTGGTGGATGGCATGCACAGCCAACCTGAGCAGAGGCAGGAGATAGAGCTCTGTGAGGCTAATTATGACCTTGGGCAAGCCACAGCCTCTCTGCTCTGTTCCTTTCCTAAGATGGTCTCCTGAACCAAGGAGGCCACCAAGAGGGAGCAGTCTCCATAAAGGCTCATGAATGGCAGTGAATATGAATGTTTCAGTTATAGCCATTATGGCCATTGGCAGGCTGGGTGCCAGTCTTGAACCTGTGTTGGCATTTCCCCAGCCTGTCCAGCTGGGCCATTTCTGGGAAGAGGTTCTAACTGATATCCCTTTTCCAATGACAGGCAATCTCAAAACAAAACCAGATCCTAAGTTAAGAAAATAGCGTGAATAAAGCTCACTTTGCCCAAAAGCGAGGGTAGAGCTGGGAATTTTCAGATCCCTTCTCTCCCTGCCAGTCTCCATACAGGCGCAAGTCATCTCTGGCAGCCTCACCAGTAATAATAAATAATAAAACCCACGACAGGGAGAGAGAAGGCTGTAGAGCACCAGGCAAGAACTATTGTCTGCCTGAGCAGCAACAGAGACTCTTCCCAGAGGGTTGAATAATGGTGTGTGGGAGGCAGAATTCCCGCTCAAGAACTGGGGCTAAGAGAAGGCCAGACATGCTCCTCCAGGCCTCTGCTTCCTGAACCAGGGTCAAGGGTCTGATGGGGTGTGGACTGAAGTATTCTGCCAAAGGGAGGCAAGAGCTTCCAACAGGGCAGAGGAGACCGGTGAGGAAGAGCATGCCCAGGGTCCCAAGGAGTGGACACTTTGGGCTCCCAAGAGTGTCTAGCCTCTGACCTTGTCCCCACAAAAGGGTTTTATCCCAGATTCTATCTCCTCTCTTCCCCTTCCCTAACATTAGTAGATTTTTCTTCAGGCTCCATTGGCAGAGTGGGGTGTTGATGGCTCAGAAATTAGACAGAGGTCGGGGGGGGGGGGAAAACTCCAAGTTCAGCAGGGAGGGAAGTTGCAAAGCATGGGGGGAATTGGCGAGTCGGCTGCTGCTTTGGACTTATTTCACTTGTGGGGGGAAGTTGGTTTCCCCCATGATGTGCCCTTGGCCAGGTTTCTGGAGATTTTGGCCTCAGTTTTTCTTCTCCAGAGAACTCACCAGCCATTGTGAGTTCAACTTGATTCTCCACCTCCCTGCTACTTTTGGCAAGATGTGGCTGAAATGTAAAATCACCAACAAGGAAGTGAGGAAGTGGGGTTTGCTTTAATTTCTGTACTTTTTTAGTGGGGGGCTTGAAACTACCCCCAATGCATGTGTTTCCCCCCCCCCACACACACACATGAACTGAAGAAGATTTTGGTGTATGTGTGTGTGGAGGGGGTCTCATATTCCTTTTGTGGAGCATTCATTTTTCCATTACCATCAACAAACACACCCCAGAGCAGCTCAGTGTGCCTACCTGCAGCTGTTGCCCCATGGTCTGCTTGCCCTCGGAGCGCTTGTGGTCTCCTAGAACATTGTGCCCATTAGAGGCAAAGAAGACCAGTGTGCTAGGAGAAAAGCCCAGGGTTGCCCAATGATTGGGAGCACACAGTGAGGCTACCTAACCTCTTATCTGTATTCTGTATCTCATTTAATCACGTGATCCACCCAGTATGATACATTATGAGAGGGGAAACTAAAGCTCTGAGGAATAAGATAGGCTCACTAATAAGTGGTAATGCTCAGATTAAACACCATAGCCACCTGGCTCTAAAACTTCTACCTCTAAGTGTCCCTATGCCTCTTCTACAGTCAAGATACAGCTGCCACTTTCTGCAATTGTAAGGCACATAGTCACGGCAAAGACCTCTCTCTGCTATCGCCCTGATTCTCATCAATTTTCCCGATTCACATAAAGAGCACCCACTATATGCTTGTATGGCCCCAGGGGCAGAACAGAAGTAATCTTTTCAGAAGTTGGTAACTAGCAACTTTCCTGAGACCAAGGACCCTGGCCCTTATCCCTTTTCTCTTTGACAATGGGAAACAGAGAGTTATAGGGATGCGGCTGAGAGCCTTAGCGATCCAGGGCTAACTGAAGTTCCTATTCTCTGCTTGGCTTACAACTCTTGGTTGGGGGTGGGGGGTGGGGGGAGGCAGTCTTCTCTGGCTTTCCACCTTGACTCCAAGCTCTGTCTCTGGACTTCAGCCCCTTTCCTCAAAGCTAGGGTCCCAGGGGAGGCTAAGAGCCTGGACTCCAGCCCCTCACCACGTGCAGAGAGGCCCAGCAGCAACCAGCTGTTGGGGGACAGATGTTGGGGGGGGGATGGAGAGAGCTGGGAAAGAAGGAGCCTAGGGCCAGGACCTCCAGTCAGGCTTAGGCTGCTGTTTAACCTTTTAATTGCTGGTTCTACAACCCTTTTCTTTTTAAGGGTTTTGATAGAAAGGACAGGAGGGGAGGGAAGAAGGGCTTCACTTTCAATCCTCCCTGTTCACCTCAAGAAATCTATGGCTTTCTGTCTTGAACGTCTAAAACTCAAAATAAGTGAACTCCAGTTTCTTTCCGTCTTAAATGTAAGAGACCCCACCCTGAGCTTCGTTTCCCCATGTAGAAGCAGTTTAGTAGGTGGGGAAAGGAATTCCAAAGGGCTTGGGTTTTTTTTTAGAGGCTCCTTCACCCAACAAATATGAGCATCTTCAATGTGTCCAGGGGAAGTAGGTCTAGAAAACTGGAAAATGAGTCTGACCTGGTCAAGGGTGCAGTTCCGCCTACAAAACCGGCTAACCGGATTTCTGCTTTCCGCTGTGGGGAGAGGGCTTGTTGGTACTCCTCTGTCCGGCACCTCTCCATCCTCAAAGCTCGTCAGGTCCTTTCCGTCTCCGCGTCCCCGCGCTGGAACCCTGGTGGAGAAGCGCAAAAAATTCAGATCTCACACCGTGAGCGGGGGTGTCAGTAGAATCATCCCCCAAACCCTTAGGCAACCCCTCCACAGCTCCCAAGCATCCCTTTCTTGAAGTTTCGTTGTCTTTGCCGCCGACGCTGATTTTCGCTGCTTCCGGAATAGACCGGCTGGATTCTCTCTCGAAGCCTGTCGGGCAGAAATTTGTAGGTTTGTCAGACTTGGATCGTAGCTTCCCGTCGCTCTTTCTTGGGGAGACTTTGTATCTCGGGACACAATGCATCTAAACACAGCCACCATTTCTCCATGCATCTAATTGGAGGAGGATGGTTTGGTTGACTGGGCCAATTTGTGGCGCTTCAGTTTAGGGCTGAAGACAGCATTTGAAGTTATGTGCAGAGGGTGTGAATGTTGCTGGCGAGTGGATTACTGGCGGCACTTACCCTGGAGCGAGGGGATGGGGGTACTATGACCTATCTCGGTAGGCACCAAAGCCGGTGAGTCCCTGGGAGACTGGGACCAGGATCCCATGGAGTCAAGTGTGGGGATCGCGTGTGCTGGGTGCAGAGGACCACAGCCAAAGGCTGCTGCTCGGATTGCCAGCCCTTCCCTACTCTGCCTTTCCTCCATCTCCCATTGGCACTTCTCAGAATTTACTTCAGGACTGGGCCAACATTAGACCAAGGTCAATACTGTCCCTCTCTGGGATGCCAGGTGTCCTTATTTCCATTCCTGCTGCTCCTAAGTCCTTCAGCACCGCGAGAGGACCTCAGCTGCCACCATGAACTCTGTGTTGTGCGGAATAAGTCAACTGCGGTTTTCGAATCTCTGACTCCAGGGGTGATAATAAGTTTTGGAGTCTGTAGTTCACTGGTTCCAGCAAAGATGATGGGGTGCACTGAGCTGGGAGGGGTGTGCTTAACAGGAAGCAAAAGCTCTGGGAAAGGCTGGTTGTTCCATCATCCCAAAGTACAAACAATAAAGCCTGCCTCCCATGGGTGGCCAGAAAGCGGTTTCATTGGGGCTACCACCAGCAGAACTGGGGGTGGGATATTGACAGAGTCTCCATTTTCTGAGGGATTAGGAATAGAGACTACAAACTGTTCTAGACACCCCCACAAAGAAGCCATGATTTCTGAGGTCACGAAAAGCATCTACTTGGGTGGGGTAGGTGTTTGATTAGGCAAAGGGCTGAAGCTCAGCCTGAGCAAACCTAGAGGCGTGGGCAGAGTCTCTGGACTCCTTTTGTACCAGAGATTAATGTTGTGGAGTTTGTGAGAGAGTCCGAGGTGATGAATACGCTGCATTCCAGCATTTCCAACAGCCAATAACTTGAATTTGTCAAAACAGGCAATACCACGGTGTGACTGGAGTGAATTGTGCTGGGCTGTTTATCCACACACAGCAGTGTGAGTGTGCTTTCCAGAGGAAAGGTGCTGGCCTTGGAGACAGAAACACAAATCCTTTGGGTATTCTTAACCCATCTCCAAGAATGCCAAGGACAGAAGGGGCAAGCCAAAGATCCAGACACTTAAAGAACAGCGTGATCAGTGCTGGTGGTGTGAGCAACTGGTGGTAGGCTCTGGGGGAAGGAATAACCTGCAAAGGCCTGGGGCTGGGAAAATGTTGGGGGTGGAGAGAACAAGAAAGGACTGAAAATGAGCTTCAACTGTGGCTTGTTCAGGGTGGGAGATACTGAAGATTAGGAAAGAGGTGGCCCGAGGAGGATGTGGTCTGTTGGGTTTTGTAAATCCAAAGCATCTTGGACTAGACCCCAAGGATAGCATGGAGCCACCAGAGACTTTAAAAGCAGGTCAGGGGACAAGATTCTGTGTTCATGCTAAAATGTTAGCTGCCGACTTCATTGTGGATGATACATTGACACCAATCCTGGAAAGTAGTAGCGGAGTGCAGATGGGGCAGAGAGAGGAGCCTGATGGGGACCAGGCCAGGAAAGACAGCAGTGGGGAGGGGTGAGAATGTAAGGGTCTGATATCCACGCTGGAGGGCTGGGTGATTGCTGGTCCTGCTTCCTGGATAAGAGTGTGCACCGGAGGAGACAGGCTTAAGCAGGTGAGGTAGCACTTCAAGGGACTCCCAGCCTGGGATCCAGGCTGTAGCAGCCTAAAAGCCCCCATGAAAATAGCAGAGAAAGGAGGGGAAGTGACAAACAGACATGCAGAATGAAAAGAAGACATAAGGGACAAGGGAACATTTGATCTAGACTTTTTTTTTTCCAATTAGTATTAGGATGTCATGGGCTCCAGAGTTCAGGACTGCTTGGGTTGACTGCAAGGCACTAAGCTCATAGTAGCAGTCATTGCTATGGTCATCTTCATAGCTCAGATCAAGGAAAATAAGAAGTAAAAGCAATTCAATGATCTGTGGGGTCTCAGAGTCAGTGAGGGCATGCAGATGTATCCTGAGGAAAGCTTCCTCTTGGAGTCAGGCCTGCTAGGGTCCCTGTCCTTGTGTGGTGTGTGACTCAGCCTGTCCTAGGTCCTAGATTCCTGATCTCTTCTTCTGCAAAATGAGAACTGAGACTAAACTCTGTGAAGCATTAGAATCTTGCAAGGCAGGCAATGCTCAAAACTTTCCCTGTTTTGTACTGTAGGGTTTTCCTAACACACATAGAATATCATAATGAACACATATACAAATGTTAAGTGATTGTTGAGAATATTTGAGAGATTCAGTAAAGCAAGAAGAAAATAAAAATCTCACTCTCAATCACTTCTTGATGGGACTTGGATGCACGGGAGTAAAGGATTCAAGTGTAGGGTAATTGCCACGTGAACCCAGGGCAGTGAGTGCCCTGAGCGATAGAGTGGGAGACTTTCTGAACTTTGTCCCCCTTTATCCCACAGCCGATTTGGAACCAAGTGCGCCCGATGTGGCAGACAAATCTATGCCAGTGACTGGGTGCGGCGGGCGCGCGGCAATGCCTACCACCTGGCCTGCTTCGCCTGCTTCTCCTGCAAGCGTCAGCTGTCCACCGGGGAGGAATTCGGCCTGGTTGAGGAGAAGGTGCTTTGCCGCATCCATTACGACACCATGATCGAGAACCTCAAGAGGGCCGCGGAGAATGGTACCCAACCCGTCCTACCCAGCACCTACTCCCAGCCTTTTCCCACCATCCCTAGCACCTAGGTATGGTCCGCACAGTTGTACCTGCTGAGCGGTCCTTGAAATATCTGAAAGTGGATTGGGGGGCGGGCGCGGGGAGGTTACACGTGGAGCATGCGCTCTGGCTCCATTTGTGTGGTCTCTACTGGTCCTTGCACGCAGCAGCCTACAAGCGCATTGGCCTGTGGAGCATCCTACCCCACCTGCCAGCTATCTGGGCAGTCCTTTCCACGTCCTTATGGGTCACAGGAAGCCAGAGGCTAAGGGTGGCTCATCCTGGATCAGGGGTTCTGAATATAAAGGTTTCGAAGACAGGGCTCCACCATACAATGCCAACAGCTGAGGTTTTCCTTTTTCTCTAAGGGATTTTTCCTGCCCTACATTTGTGCAAGATATCTAGATGATGGTCTAGAATGTTCCTTGAATCTCCTCTGGCTCTGACATTATGACCTTTCTAAGACAGCTATCTCAGGATTAGGGTGAAAATCTTCCAGCATGCCAGGGGGGTTGGGGTGATGTATAAGGGGAGGTGGGGGACCCTAGTGGATCTGTGGGCAGAGGCAGCATAGTTCTGCTCTCAAATGTGGCTGGCTGTGTAAGTCCTTACAACACTTTTAGGAGCTTTGTGCTATCCGTAGCTAGGAAAGAAGCAGAGGTTATTTACGTCTAGAAGGTCTGCTGGAGCCCTAAAGCCCAGTGTTTTAACTATCATAACATAGCACACTACACTATGATACTTCATCCCTATGCTCCAGAACCCCTTCAAGAGCCAGGAGACTCCTGAGATGTGCTTGTCTCTGTTTCATTTTTCCCATCTAAAAAAATAGGCACAGTAGCCCTTAAGCTGACTGATTTTCTTGGGATATTAATATTGCACAGCTCCTCTCAAGGAGCATGGACCTCCCTACCTCAATGTCTGGGTACCAGTGGAGGGCTAGTCAGGGACCAGCAGTTCCTGGCCATGGCCTCACCCAAGGTCATCACTTTCCCCTGCTGGGATCAGTAGCTAAATGGGGAGCAACTGAACTTGGGGCACATTGAAGTTTCCTGTAGTGCTGGACAAGTCGGCAGTGGAGCTGGGTGGGAAACTCAGGAGTCAGAGCTTCCTCTACACCATGGTTAATCAGTAAACCACAGGCTCCTTTCACTCCTGGACCACCCAGGGCCACCCTTAGTCATGGTCTGCAGATGACATCCTATGCAGGACAGCTTGAACATGGGGCTTCTGGTCACCCACCATCAGCATTAGCCATCGCTTTTAAACAAAACAACACCCACATTCATTACAGAAAAATGAGGAGAAAAATGAGGAGAAAGTTAAGAAAACTTCGAGATGTCGTTACTCCCTGTTTACATTCCCAGTTTGTTCTTTGTACATATAGTTTTTCCCTTCTGCATAGTTCTTTCCCCCATTAAAGTGTTACAACAAATTGTGAGCAGAGGTTATCCCTGAGTGGCAGAGTCACTGGTAACTTTCCCCTTCTCAGTGCTTGCCAGAGTTTTGGGCTTTTGATAAGAACAGTGTATTATTTTTGTATTCAGAAAAATGAAGTATTAAAATGAGAATATATCTGCTGGTTTATAATCATAGCTGCAAACGTTCTATAAAATAGACAGTACCTAAGATATGTTCTAGTTAGTAAACCATACTTTGGAGAAGGTAAAATGTAATTCTTTTAAATACTTCAAAAGTTGCTGGGCGTGGTGGCAGACACTCCCAGCACTCTGGAGGCAGAGGCAGGTGGATCTACATGAGTTAGTGACCAGCCTGGTCTAAAGAGAGAGTTCCAGGACAGCCAGGGCTACACAGAGAAACTCTGCCTCCAAACACCAATAATAATAATAAATAAATGAAATAAAGAAAGAAAAGAAAAGAAAAAGGCACTGAAATACCGAAAGTAAAAAGTCCCCACAGTGAAACTCTTGGAGGTAGGCCACTGGAACTACTGGAACCTTCCCACGTCTTCCCTTCCCATTGTTTCTGTGAAATTGGGATTGTAGCTTCTGCAACTGCATGCTTTTGTTTTTATCTCCACCTTGGTTTCCCTCCAGCTTACCTAGGAGGGACGATAGGGTCAGACAGGCGCCAGATCTGAGATAGAGAATCTGGGGTTCCCACCCAGAAGCTTTCTTCTTTCTGAGCCTTAGTTTCCTCTCTTTAAAAAAAAAAAAGGCTATAGTATTGGGAAGAGCTCTAGGCTGGGGACTATGACCTTGGGATCCCAGCTCCCAGCCACCTCGCTCCTGACCCTTCCAGGGACAAGCTCCCCCCCACCCGGTCCTTTCCAGGCTGCCACTAGAAGAGATGGGGACGCGTGGTCAGCCGCTTCTGTCGCCCCCCAGGGAACGGTCTCACGTTGGAGGGGGCAGTGCCCTCGGAACAGGACAGTCAGCCCAAGCCGGCCAAGCGCGCGCGGACGTCTTTCACCGCAGAGCAATTGCAGGTAAGCAACCCCGACCCTTCCGCTAGCCCGGAGACGAGTGGGCGGGGCCTCTGAGTGGGCGTGGCTGTGTGGGACTGGTGACTCCACCGCCTCTTGCGGGGACCCGCGGGAGGCCGCGCGGGCAGAACTGCCTGGGGCGTGGCCTCGGGCCCCGAGACTCTGATTGGGCGGAAGTCTCAGGGCCCTCGTGTGCTCCGCAGGTTATGCAGGCTCAGTTCGCGCAGGACAACAACCCCGACGCGCAGACGCTGCAGAAGCTGGCGGACATGACGGGCCTCAGCCGCAGGGTCATCCAGGTGGGGCTCCAGGGTCTCGGCCTTCAGGTCTGGGGCGGGCCTCGGGGCGAGCGCTGGAGCTCGTAGCGGAGGGTCGCGGGTGCACGTGGCCGACCCTCTCCAGTGTGGCCTAGGTCCCCTGGCGGCACGGCTGACCCTTTTCCGCGATTGCTGAGACTGCGGAGGCTGTCGTTCCAGGTGTGGTTTCAGAACTGCCGAGCGCGTCATAAAAAGCATACACCGCAGCACCCGGTGCCGCCCTCAGGGGCGCCCCCATCCCGCCTCCCCTCCGCCCTGTCCGACGACATCCACTACTCTCCGTTCAGCAGCCCCGAAAGGGCGCGAATGGTCACCCTGCACGGCTACATCGAGAGTAAGTGATAGCAATTCTGGGGCCGCCGGGCCTGTGGGGAAGGGGACGCTGAGAAGTGCTCCCCGGTTTGTTGGCGGGGTGGGGGGTATCTGAAGACTAGTGGATAAAGATGGGGGGCGTGTCAATTTCCCCGCTCTTCTTTAGTGGGTCCGGCCCTTGGTAGAGGAAGCAAATAGCAAAACTTCAAGCAGCCACTGTGTATGTGCGTGGGATGGGGCAGGACAGCCTATAGGAAAGATGCCAGGTGGGAGTGTGTGGGGATGCTGGAGCCAGAGGAGCATTGCCTCTAAGCAAGCTGAGCTCCGAAGGATGGGCTAGACTTAGGGGAACTCAAAGTGGGCAAACCCTGGCTCAAAGGGCATCCTGGCATGGGCGCATTTGGGGAGCAGAGGCCAGGATGGCATGATCACCCAGGGCTGTGAGGCCTTTGGACAAGTCGCAGACTCTCCTCCAACCCTTCCGTTTCCTCATCTGTGAACTAGAATAGCGATACTGCCTGTCAAGGATATTGAGAATTTAGTGACATGGGCATCCATCAAATGTGTACTCTGAGTGCCTCCTGTGTTCTTAGCACTGAGATAGAAGAGTCAGTAAGTAGGTCAGAATTGCACTGCTCCTGGGACTCACATTCCAGTGACGAGGGACAAATATCTCCATCCCAGTCTGTCCCTCTCTTCCTCCTCCCTCCTTCCTGGAGTCCATGTGGGCAGGATAGCAAGTGGTCCCAATAGGGACAGTAAGGGTAGGATGTGGGTGGGCGGTGAGCACTAGAGGGTGGGTGGGTCATGGCGAAACGATCTTGAAGCTGGAACCTGAATGAGTGAAGGTATGGACTGGATTTCTGAGAGCCAAGCAGTCACTGAGAGCCAAGTGAATCTGCTACTGAGCAGGTGCTTATTACAGAGTCTCTTTCCCTTTGGGGTCATTTCCTCAAGCTGGGTATGACCAAAAAAAAAAAAAAAGTCATACACACGCATACTCTCAAGCAATCATCTGTGAACTCCAACTAAAGGGGAAAAGACAAACTCTTACTTAGAGAGCACCTGCCTTGTGCCCGAGGCAATACCTTCCGAGGCTCTGAACATCATTGGTCATTATTCCATTACACAGACTAGGAAACCAAAGGGGCTACTGTTAAGTTCCAGGAACTCGAATGACTGAGTGTGGACTGTGGCATTGTAACTGCCTGGGATCGAGCTACGAAGCTCCTTCCTAGCTTGGGGACACTGGGCAAATTTCTTAGCTTCCTGGATTGCTAGACAGTTTCCTCATTCGTTAGAACTGGGGCAGTGAGGGTAGCCCCCCTCAAAGCAGTACTGTGGGCAACACTGAGATAACTGACTTAACGGCCCCATTTAGCACGTACAGGCTAAGCATCAGCTGCTTTGGGATGCAAGGGGCAGAGCCCTCTATGCTGTGCCAGGCTGCCAGCTGGCACTGTCTCTAGACAGTTCCATTTCTGAACCTTCTCACCAGGAGGGACACTTTCTCCCTTTTGTTTCTAAACAATGACTTAATGTCCAGCCTGAATAACACCTATTAAACACTTGCTGAAGGTGCCAAAGACTAGGGACTCTCTTGGCAGCCAGCTAACACTTGGTGTAGAGCGGTAATGGGTCTAGGTGACTTCTGTCGGGAGTGGATCAGGACTCTGTTCATGTATTCTGCTGATCAAGCCTAGATTTGTCTTTGATTCTAGAGGAGTCAGGACATGTGCACCTCTGCTGAGTGACCAAAGGACAACCTAGCCGTTTGCTTTGCCGTGAACTGAAGACAAGAAGTCTTGGGTTTTCTAAAATGTTAAAGCTGTGAACTTAGAGGGTTTAGAAGTGGACCCAAGCCCTTCCATTGACAGTCAACTAATTTCAGTGCTTTGAATCTAATTTAAATAATTAAAAAAAAACATTGCAACCAGATTCCAGAAAATGTACAGACACAGTTATTTGAGTAATTTGAAGCTGTTCAGAAATGTCTTTTAAGAATTAAATAGGATTGCCTTACCCTGCAGAGGAGAGAATGGTGTCTCAGGCACAGCAACTTGGCCCAACTGACTTATCGCTTGCAAGTGTCTGTTTAGGCATCATTGTGAGCAGGCAGGGCAGTCTGCAGAAGAGACAGGCAAATGAATGCTTAGCTATAGTGGTAAGCAGGCCGAAATGTGTGAGAGATTTGGAACAGAACCAATAATAAACTTTTCTCAACAGTTTTAGATGTTGGAATAGGGTACGGAAGTTCATTCAACCAACATTTAAAGAGTACCTCACAGGCATTGGGGAGATCACTCAGCAGTTAATGGTACTGGCTGCTCTTTAGGAGGATGAGGGTACCAGCTGGAGAGATGGCTCAGAATTTGATCACTGGCTGATCTTCCAGAGGACCCTAGTTTAGTTTCCCAGCACCCACAGGGCAACTCACAACTGTCTGGACCTCCAAGATCTGACACCCTTGCACAGACATACGTACAGGCAAAACACCAATGCAGATAAAATAAAAATAAAATTTTTAAAAAGAGGATAAGGGTTTGATTTCCAAAACTCACACAGCCGCTCAGTACTGTCTGTAACTCCAGTTCCCCCATGGGCACAAGCTCATGCAAGTAGTGCACAGACATACATGCAGGCCAGGCACCCATATGCATAAGCTGAAATAAGAAGAGTGCCTTGTGAATTCTATGCTCCATCCTAGGTACCTGAAAGCCAGTAAGGTCAGGTGTGCATGGGGAATGTCATAGAGCTTGCATTCTAGTTGATGAAGAGACAGTATTAAAAGAACAATGAAATTATATGTAAGTTGGGTGACTAGGGCTAGTCAAGAAAAAAATGAAGTGCAGTCAAGAAAAAAAAAAAAAAGAAAGACGGGCCTGTTTGTTGGGCTGCAGTTATAAGCAGAGCAGTGAGGACAGGATCTCCTAGGAGACAGTTCATAACCTGCCCTTGTTGATGTTCTGGAAATCAGAATGTGTGGGTGAGGATCTGAATAGATGGGTACATCCTCTTTGCAGGAGGGCCTCAGGACATTCGTATAGGAATGTTGACATTCCAGTGAGCTGGGCTGTAGCACAGGATAGAGTCCTACACATACATAGCATTGCAGCCGACTCATTTGGGACTGTTCCCAGAGCCCCCAGGTGGCAAGCCACAAAGCTAGAGCCCTGGGTTAATGATCAGGCGTCAGCTTTCTGAGCACACAACAGGTGGGGATCCTGTGTGGTGCCTGGGGAAGGGGCTCCAAGGCATCCTCTCGTCCACAGGTCAGGTACAGTGCGGGCAGGTGCACTGTCGACTGCCTTACACCGCGCCCCCTGTCCACCTCAAAGCCGATATGGATGGGCCGCTCTCCAACCGGGGTGAGAAGGTAAATGGAGCCTGGCTGTTTCTGGTGGGTCAGAGCCTTCCTGCTGGGAATGGGTTTCTGGCAGTATTCCCTGTGACTGAATGGGTACCATGTCGTGCTGTGGCAGATCACTCAGGCCCCCAGTGTGTCCCCAAGGCAGTCATCAGAGCAGCTTGTTGTGTGTTTCATGTGCTTGACTTCTCTGAAGTTGTCCTTGTAGCCCTGTCCCACCCACTGGCAGCGAAACCATCTTACTTACCTACTCTGAATTTACTCATGCTTGGAGGTTCTGGAGAGGGTTTCTGTCCTACACCGTTCCACTTCCTGTTTCGTATCCCTTTTTTTCTATTCACTTCTGTGTGTTGGCAGTACCTAGTTGTCTAGGGCCGGTGGAAGCTCATTCCCCCTGGGAATGACAGGTGAAAGTAGCTAGGTCTACTTTAGATGTAACCAGCAGTGGGTAGGAACGTCGTCTCTAATAGTGAGTCCTTAAGGCCGTTATCCCCAAGAAGCTCCTTATTTCAGCGCTCCCAGGAAGAGAAGCCCACATGTGACCCAGGGTCCACTGGCAGGGCCTTCTCTGTAGTAGCGAAGCTTTGGTCACTCCAGGATTAATACTGAATTTAGTAAAGGGTACATAGATGTCGCTCAATCTCGTGGCTTGGTTTAATCTTGTCCACAGGTGAAAGTAGCTAGGTCTACTTTAGATGTAACCAGCAGTGGGTAGGAACATCGTCTCTAATAGTTAGTCCTCAAGGCCGTTATCCCCAAGCAGCTCCTTATTTCAGACGTGGAGAGCCTGGATGAGGGGAAAGTGGTGAGAAACAAAGCCCTAAGGATGCTAGGTGGGGACCTTGGACTTTAGCAGGCATCTGGGTGATGGTGGTCCTCAGTGGAACTGGGTAGGGTGATCACGGGGGAAGCAGGAAGCTCTTGGTGTGCCTGGGAATCCCAGAGGCGGCTTGGGAAGGTGCTGATCCTCAAACCAGGGGGAATGAGCGCTGGAGGCCAGCATGAGTGGTGCTTGGGGAAGAGAACAATCCTGAGGAAAGGTCTTCCTCACTGCTTTCTGAAACCTGCTGTGCACAGGGCTTCCTAGGAGGTGGGCGCCATGGGGCAGGGGTTGGAGGGTGGGGGTCCAGATGGCCCAGCAGGATGGTATAGTAGCATTGCATGAGACTGTGGTGAGCATGCTCCAGGAGGATGAGAACTGCTGACTGTGGAGCCTAGCACTCTGTACCTTTATAAAGTTAGCACTTTATAACCTTGAGGTTAGCACTTTATACTGGCTGACATCTCCCAGCTGCCTTTGGTGTGGGCATGGCCTTCTCTTTTTCTTTCTTTTTGGTGTTTTGTTTTTGTTTTTTGAGACAGAGTTTCTTTGTGTAGCCTTGGTTGTTCTGGCGCTCACTCCATAGACCAGGCTGGCCTTGAACTAATTCACAGAGACCCGCTTGACTCTGCCTCCTGAGTGCTGACTTGAAGCTGAACTCGACACTGGGACTGCACAGGGAGAGCACATAACCTCTGCCCTCAAAGGCTCTGTGGTATAGATAGGTTTTGGGCAGTTACATTGTAGGGTGATGGAGCAGACAGAATGGGGGACAAACATGACCCCAGAAGATTCAGAAGAGGGAGTGACAAGCTCAAGGGGAGAGGCAGGGAAGAGAAGGGCATCCATGTCAAAAGAGCAGCTGGTCCAAAGGCATGGAGAAGACAGAGCTAGAAGGACCGCTGATGCTCAGTGTGGTTGAGGCCCAGGAAGGTAGGGGAACTGGTAGAGGCCCAGTCCCTGGAGTCAAGGGTTTGAGTCAGGAGCTGCAGCAGTGCACAGGGTTGAGCTCAGAGGAAAGCCTTTGTTTCTCATATGCTGAGCTGAGCTGTGGTTGTGTCTGGTTCAGTTTGAAAGATGAGCCAGGCTGGGTGATGGCAGCTTGGCTCTAGGTTCTTGGCCTCTGGGTTTGTTTGTTGAGCCAGAATCCCTCACTCTGGGCTGTGTCCCCAGTTTTGTAGCCAGAAGCTCTGTGGTACAGTGTGTGTCCTTCCTTCATGACCTATTACCCTCTTGCTGTCAGGCCTGCTTGACAGCTCCTGAGCACCTCTGCTAGCCACAGCTGCTCATGCATGTGCGTGCAGTCTGCCGGCTACACATGTAGGGCGGGACAGACGACAATTTTAGCTTTCTCCCAAGTCCTTCTGGGAAACCTCTGAGGATACCAGAGTCTCCTTGGTGCTGGTTCACTTGTTCACACTAGTGCTGGCAGCCAGGCAGTGTGGCGCACACCTTTAATCCCAGCACTTGGGAGGCAGAGGCAGGTGGATGTATGTGAGCTCAAGACCAACGTGGTCTACAGAGAGAGTTCCAGGATAGCCAGGGCTGCAAAGAGAAACCTTGTCTTGAAAAATAAAAGCCAAAAAAGAAAGAAAAAAAAGAAGGACTAATGCTGTCCTGGCCAGCCCTAATCATTGGAGCACCGTGGAGCTTCCTATGTCCACGACAACATCATTTGGCCCCACATACCTGTTAAGTTCCGAGAACTACATTTCTTCCTGGTCATATACCCTGATCCCATAGCTCTAGCATGTAGAATGGTCTTAGAAGTCAGGGTTGGTTGGCCTCCATCAGGTGGAAGGAATGCAACCTGCAGAGAAAGGTCTGACCAGAGTTATTTCCTAATAGGAGCTCAAAGCCAGGGGTCTGAAGTTTAGGCCCAGAGGAATGCTTTGTCCGGGGCTGGGTGAAGCAGAGTATGACCTTCTGAAGTCAGGTGACCCAGAGTCCCAGATCAGCCACCTCCTCCCCAGAAGACCTTGAAGTACAATTAGCCTCTTGTGACTTGAGTTTCTGCCTCTGCTAAATGGGGCTCTAATCGTTTCTGCCATCCTACAATGCTGTAGAAATGGGAGGCAGTGTGTATGAAGAGCCCACACAGGTGCCTGGTGCACAGAAGGTACTCAGCAGCTCTTGCTTATCAACATCTTCTCAGTGCTCCCCTACATGTGGGAGATATGGATGCCTGAAACTGTGACATGATAAGGCTCAATTCATAATTGGGCAAGTCAGAGATTAATAAAATGGCAAATAATAGAACAGTCACAATATGCTGTGTATCTGTGCTGCTTTGTTCCTGGGGTCCAGAGAAGAGCACACAGTGGCTCTCCGCTGCTGCTCTTGTTCAAGAGACTTTGCCATCCCTACTTACACATGAGGAAACGGGCTAGGAGAAGGGAAGTGAGCTGCCCAAGGTCTCACAGGAAGTAAATTGAGGGATGGGGTTTAAGCTTAGGTCTTAGCTCTGGAACCCCACCATTGTTCTCCAGGCCTTGAGGTCCCCTGTGCTGCTTGGTGGGAAACGCACCAGCTCAGCCACGTGTGTTGCCCTTCTCTTGCAGGTCATCCTTTTTCAGTATTAACGCTACCGGCACTTGCGCATCTGTCCATGGGCACCGCACAGCTGCCCCTCAGCCGCTGAGATCAGCATCCAGCTGTGGCCAGGGATCCACCTCTGCATACACTCTCACCCACTGCCATCCTACCCTCTGCCAGTGGTCACCCCAGCCCAGGCCCGGTCTTTCCCTCCCCTGCCAAGAACCAGAACCCACCAGGAGCAGCAGAGACCCTCTCTGAGAAGGCAGGTTCCCAGAAATGTGGCATCAGCATGAAAACAAGCAGCCTGCCCTTCCTCATCAAACAGGAATCATCGCTAACGTCAACTGATCACAGCAGCAATGGCAAACTGAGTCGCGAGTCACCAACAGTCTCCTACTTCACAGGTTTTCTTTACCCCACATTGGCCTTTATTTACTACTTTCTTAGAACCATCTCTGAATTCTGAATAGCCAACAACCCCCAACGTTATATACTCTGTTGCTTTTGTCTGGAAAACTCTACAGTGTTTGTGGGATGTCCCCAAAGAAAAGCTATGTTCTAATTTTATCATTTCCATCTGTCTGGTTATGTCAAGTTAACTCAGAAAAAGAAGAGATCCTGACCAACCCTGAGAGGCCCAGTAGGGCGGAGATGGAGGCCTGCCCAGATGAAGAGGCAGAGGGGCAGGCAGGGGTAGATGCCAGAGAACACCCCCCATTGGCATGGAGGAGTGGGACTGGGTACACTGGACTTGGTGGGGTGCTAACCGTTTCAGCTACCCAGCAGGAGTCAAGGCAAGGATGTGTACCATCTGCATAGTGACACTGCTGAATGTTTGGGTGGGCTGGCATCAGGGACCCTTGTAGACCACTTCTCAGTCCTGAGAGGAGGGCCTGAGCCAGTCTTCTCTGGGGGTGGGGTGGGGTGGGAACAGAATCCAGTGAAATGGTGGTCCAAATATTAGTTCTGATTCATGCTGGAGTGAAGAGAGGTGCCCATGGCCTCAGTGAGTAGCCAAGCCCAGGATTTCAGCCGGCACCTCTGCAATTTCCCCAGCAACTCTGAGCAGAGCCAGCTCCACCCATGCTCCACCCATTCCTGAGAGCAGAGGCCAATTCCAACTAAAGGCCTCAGGGTACACAGGGCCCCTTCTGTTTTCAGGGGGTGCCCATTTGTCCCACACTTATCCTGTGATTACAGAAGCACTTGGTGGGCTGATGCACTTCTCACATGAGGCTGCTAGCGGCTTGTTTTCGCCGGAGTCCTCCTCCTTGCTTTGAGAAGGAGACTCCAGGACAGGGAAGGCAAGTTCCTAGAATGAATGCAGTTGCTGTCCTTACTTCACCCATGACAGACATCGCTAATCTATCACAGCACTCTATCTCATGGAGTCTGGATAAGGTTGCAGAATCCCCATGCTTGAAATTAGCACTTGATGAGAAGCACTGTGCTATTTGCTGTAGGACCTGGAGGAGGGTTAGGCATGGGTGCCGCCCCGGAAGGGAACTTTCATCATTTCCCTTCCAAAATTGTCAGCTGACTGAGGACAAAGAGAAAGCACCTCCCAGAATGCTGTGAGCGTGGTTCAGTTCGGAACTCAGGCAGTAGCCTGAGCCAGGCACTGACTCAAGCAGGAGGAACCTGGCCTGATCTGGCTTTGGGGAACCCAGATCTTTCCTCTGATTTTGCTCCTAATGATCAAAACCCCAATTGCAACCATGTGGGAAGTGGCCAGCTGAACCCAGGTCACTGGTCCCCACTCTGCCTTGAGCCTTCCCCCGGGGTCTAATTTTTGTGTGGATCACGTGGCAGTAGCATGTTGCAGTTCAGATGTCTCCACTACCCTGTTCAGAACAGCCTGGGAATGTACAGGCCGACAAGGCTATTTATTTAAATACACACAGAAAAGGGGGGAACACACAAACGGAAAAAATAGTAAGCACTTTTTTTGTAAACCAATGTCTGTTTTGTTACATACCTTTCATGTCGTGCTTTGTAAATGTCTTATTTGTGTAATAAATAAAGTTAATGCAAGTAGAAGTGCTGGCACTTAAATCCAGAATATGATGGGATTCCATTTCTTTCTTGCTCTTCGGTTAAGGACTTAGGTCTGAGCTGCCGGATGGCGCCATAGCCCAGGCAGTGGAATGTGCTGAGGGACGGTGACTGGTTTCTTCTCTAACATTGTGTCATCCCGTGGATTGACTGCTTTGTGGGAAGCCAGGCTGGTTGTTGACCTCTGTTCTGCTCTCTGAATACCAACTGTCTGCTGTGTTCTGTGCTGCTCTGCCTCAGAGAAACCTCAGTCTGGCCAGTGCTGTCCACAGACATTCCTCTCATATGCTGGGGAACAGAGGGGAGGCATTTGAGCTGGATCCAATCCAGTAAGATACACGGAATAGGTGAAACGGGAAAGTGTTGGGGAGGGCACGGAAGAAGAGAGACAGGGGTCCTCTGGGGAAGAATCCAATATGACGGCTCCAGCTTGAGCACAAGACTGACTCATGATGGCTTAGTCAGGTTCTAGGGCTACCACATATGCTGGACAGTGGTCTGGTGGTTGTCGGATTCATTCCTCTGGAAAATCTTGTTCAAGCCAAAGCCCCAGGCGTAGAGACTCAAGCTGCCTATAGGGTATGGATGCTTTCCTTACCTCCTGGAGCCCTTGTGAGACAGGGTCTCTTGCTGAATGTGGAGCTCATCGATTTGGCTAGAGCCGCTGGCCAGCAAGCCTCAGGATCCTCCTGTTTCCATGTCCCCAACACTGGGATGACAGGCACATACTACTGTGCCTGGTGTTTTACTTGGGTCCTAGGGACCACAACTAAGGTGCTCGTGACTGTGTGGCAGCTGAACCATCTCCTCAACCCTTTACCCCAACTCAACCCTCCTCAACCCTCTACGCCCAACATTATTTCTGCCTCTCCAGTCTGTTTTAAATTCTATTTGGATATGACAGAAAGTATACACTTTGTCTGTGTACACGAATATGTATGTTTCTTTGCTAAGTGTACCTTCTGTTTTGAAGACCCAGTTTGAGAACTACCGATGGAGCCCCGCCTTATTAGTTTTCTAGGGTGTAGCAAAAGCCTTAGAAGGAAGAGATGACTTCCCCAGGTCTACTGCATGGTGCAGCTAGCTTGAGGGGACCGAAACCTCCCTTGACTGGTGGCTCTCCTCCAGATCCACTCTGAATTCCTAGTTTGAGGGTTTTTTTTTTCTCTGAAGATCTCAGAAATCTATCCTTAACCTGATCTCTCTTCTGTCTCCACAGGGTAGCTTGGGTAAAGCAGCGATCATAACCTGGGGTCCGAAGGGGGGTCTCCTCCATGGACTAGTCATGCAAACATAGAGGATGCTTGGGGCCTTTACCATTCCCTCTTCTGCACAGCTAACAAATGTGATCTCTGGGGTGATGATGTGCACAGTGCACAGATTTACTTTTCTGTCTGTTTTTTATATTGGTCCTCACTGTGTAATCTGGGTTGGCTCTTGCATGTGTGGGCCTTCTGCCTTACTCATCAAGTGCTACGATACAGTGGCACAGATTGCCATTTCAGGTCAGCATTGAACCCCGCCAGGTGTCACCTCTCCAACTGTCTCCCTGGAGTCACTGTGGTCTTCTGTTGTTTTGAGCATTCTTTGAACTGTTTTATAGATGCTGGAAGCTGAGGCTCAAAGAACTGACCTGCCCAGAGTTGCATGGTGGGTGGCTGTGACCGAACTGAGATTTGAATCCTGCACAGATGCCAAAGCACCTTGTGGATCCAGTACCCAGAGGGAAAGGCGGTCCTGGGGGAAGGTGCCATCGCTGAGATGAGACCTAGTGAGTCACCAGCCAGTCACATTTCTCTGAGCCACAGATTCCCCATCTGCAGAAGGGAGGTTTTTACCCCCTTAGCTGCTCATTCAGTTTGAAATATGGCAGAAGATGAAGGTTCTTGAACGTTCCATGTATAAGAAGTAATTGGGAATGCAATATCCATATATTCTGACAGGCTTGGGCCCAGTGCTACCAAGGTGATACTGAAGCAGGTAAAATGGGGGTGTCTTCTAAAGCCCTCACCCTCAGGATCATTCAGTGCAGGAAACCTTTATTCTGAAACTCAAGCCGAAGCTAGAACGGCAGCCGTGCGTGGGCAGAGGGAATCACAGCTTGGGTTTCTGTGCGGGCTTCTCTGCCCAGCCCTTGCGGCAGGTCCTGACGATCCACTCATGTTCATCATCATCTGTAGGGAGAGAAGACAGTTAGACCTGTACTCACTAGGACCCTCAGGCCTGGCCTGGGAGACCCCCAGGTGGGATCTTGGGGCCTGGGTGCCTTCCAGTACCAACTGTTGACCCAGGTGTTTAGCTCTGAATGGCTGGAGCCGATCTTTAACTGTTACAGCATCCCTCAGCAATGCTCCTAGGCTGGGAAAATGGACCACTAAGTTAGAGAAGAGTGTGTGGTTTGAGGACAGAGCTGATGAAGACAGCCCGAGAGCATTTGGCCATCATGAGTTGATTTGATCCTGTCGGGTGGAGCGGGCGCCTCACACTCAAACAAGCACCTGCTGACAGCCATACAAGCAGCAGCCTGCTCACACTGGGCCAGACTTTGGCAGAAGTGCTAGGAGACAGTGGGAGACACGGAGGAGACTGCTGGTGTCATCCTTTCAGAGACGGGATGCATCTGTCGCATGGCCTCCCCAACAAGTGCATCTTTCCCACCACCGTGCAGATGAGCAGGGTGCCCAGCCTCCTGGTCAGCATGTGGGAGACCTGGGAGGATCTCAGCCCATGGTTGACGCTTTTCCAAGCTTCACAATCGAGTGAGCACCGATCTTCAGTCCATAAGCAGCGCCCCCCCTTTCTTTATGGGACCCTCTGTGAATTTATCTGATTTTCCTTTTCTCCCTCTTTCTCTTTTAAATAACACCCAGTCCCTCCCCCAGCACAACAGGGACCCACTCTAATAGCAGGGCATGCACCCCTAAAAATGCATGCAGCTTTGTAAAATATGCCCTCTTGTTTTGTGTGCAAATGTGTTTTTAATTTACAGAAATGGCATTGTGCTGTGAGCCGCATTGTGTGGGCCTTCTTTCCATCTGGGTCCGTTTCACTTTTCCTGTGGCCAAATGCACAGCTAGTTCTTTGCTTGTTACCATTGCCTCATGTTCCGTAACTGGCTGCTCTCATGGCTGACTCTGTTCTCCAAGGGTCACCTTCAGCTTCCCAGAACCAGGGACACCAGGCAGAGTGGATACATGGGAGAACTTGCCTGGGTTTTGTTCTGAGAGGAGCACCATGGGGCTGCACACATTTCACTCACCTGTACCCCCTACCACCTGCCTGCCCTTCCTATCCATCCCTGGCCTCAGGATAGCTTCCTCTGGGCCACAGAAAGAGGCATTTTCTCTCCACCTCTGCTTAACCCACTGCCTCCCATAGGAGAAGGGTACTACTACCCATTCTCTTCAGGTGACAAACACTGGAATCTGAGGACCAAGGGGACTCACTGAAAGCTGAAAAGCAGAAGGCTAGTGAAAACCTCCTCCAGCCCTTGCCCAGGGACACTCCCTAGGGTCACCTAGAAGTTCGTGGATACCTGAACATGTCACACAAGCCCTGCACCTCATTGGGTCTCTGTAAGAATACAGCAGGGGTTGGGGAGATCGTGTCCCAGAAGTGAGGTTTTAGATCCCCAGTCTCTGGAATCTCAGCCAAGTTCATCTTGGCTGTAAGGCTAACTTCTTGGTTGCAGCCTAACTTCTCACCCCAAGGCATATTTGATGATGTGAGAGCCAAAGTTGCCTCTGCAAGAGCTAGCCCCTGGTAGGTGACCCTCACGCTAGCCCCTGGTAGGTGACCCTCGCGCTAGCCCCTACCTGCCTTCAGTATTTCTCAAAGTGACTTAAGAGAAAGGGCTTGCTAGTGAGAATGTGTTCTGCCCTTGGGGGAATGACCAAGGTTCTGCCCTTGGGCCTCAGTTTCCCCTAGCAGGCTGTCTGAATGTCCTAGCTAAGGCTGGCAACCCAAGGGTGTGTGGTGGGGTGCTGCGCTGATTTGTCAGCACACAAGGAGTTAACCGCTGGTGGAGCCCACTTTCGCCACACTGTGAGCAGCCTGGTTGATAATTACAGTTCTGAAGTCTCCAGGCTATTCGAATCAGTGCAGCTGCAGCCTCTTCAGCGGTAACCCCTGAAACCAGACAAACTGGGTGTATTGTGCTGAACCAGTCCTCAGGCCCCTCCCTGATGGTTACAAATTGACAGCAATGGACTTAACAGCCCTCTTCACTACTCGGTTTACTCTCTACCTGGCTGCACAGCCACCAATTTGAATCCCAGATGCCTTTCCTCGGGCAGCTGCTCCTCCACCCTCCCTCCACCTCCGCGGTTCCCCTGGCCCTGCCATGCCAGGGTGAGGCTGCTGGAGCACATTTCATCAATATTTAAAATGGAATTAAACCTGTAGCTTTGATTAATGCCTCCTGGAGCCCGAGAGTAGTGATTACTATTTTGCAAATTGCGATTGTTGGAATATGTTAATATGATTGTCTGAGAACATCTTCACCTTCTCGGGTAATTTTCCTCCTTTTTTGGCAGGAGGGGAGGAGGAGGGGAAGAAAGCAAAAAAAAAAAAAAGATGGGGAAAACACCCCCACGAACTCTTTAATCAATTGTAAATGATCAGCCTTGGCAGAGTTGTGGGTGGTGCAAAGGGAAGTGGGAACAGGAGGGGAAGACTTCTGGTTTGGTGCATTTAACATCATCCTAAGTTTTTGGATCTGGTGATGCCACTCTGGGACACCATCCTAAGGAAGTAATGTCGTAGTTGTCTCCATACTGTTGAGAATCAAGAGAACAGAAAGTGATGTGGATTTCTAAATTAGGGAATGGTTACTTTGTTGTCTATTCATTCATTTAACAAATGATTTCTAAATACTGTCCTTGCCAGCAACCTTCTGGCGTGGGGAGGAAGCAGTGGGCTCTCACTGTAAGCCATGGGGAGGGGATATTTAGCAGCCAGGGAAAATAATAGTTGTGGAGTCGATATGGCAACACAGGGGAAATGCTTTTGATGAGATAATAAGCCAGAATAATAAGATGATGCAACAAAACAAAACACCTCCCCACAACAAAAATCTGTGAACTTTTATGCAGAAATCCCTGCTCCATGTAAAATTGCGGCTCGAAAAAAATTAAAAGTGATAAAATGAATTGGGGTAACTCTGGGAAGTGTGATTTTTCCTTCCTGTTTTTTGGGTGTTTTCCAAATCTTGTTTACTTAATGTGATCTGATCACAGAAAAATTTTTAAATAATCCTTGCCTTTTTTGTCCTGCCCTGCAGTATAATGTCTTGGTGATTTTTATATGTTTTGTTCATTGAAATTTCATGAAAGATTTTTAGGCTCCTAAAAACACTAATGTTTTTATACTTCTAAAAAGTAAAAATTCTAGCATAAAATATTGGCAAAAATACACAAAAATCTAAATAGATGCCTTGCAGAGTGACCATCTCCCAAAAGAAGGGAGAAGAAAACACACACACACACACACACACACACACACACACAGTAACTTTGCAATGGAGAAACTGACCTCAGCTAGGACCAAGGTTCAGGACAGTGGCAAGCAAACTCCAGGGAACCTGTCTCCTGGTTCTGTTTGGATAGAAATGGCCCTCACTTTTGTGGGCTTCTTCTCCAAACCCTACAATCACAGTCTGATTGGAAGAGAAACATCTAAACTTTCTGCATGAAGGTACATCCTACAAAATACATGACCAGTGCTCCTTAGAACTGCCCCCCAAACAAGAAAAGCAGCACCTATGGGTGTAGCCTAGTTGCTGAGATCAGTTCCTAGCCAAACCAAAACAAAAATCCTAGTGAGGCATGATAGTGTACACCTTTATTCCCAGCACTCAGGCAGCAGAGGTAGGTGATCTCTGAGATTGAGTCTAGTCTGGGCTCATAGTGAATTCTAGACCAGACAGGGCTACATAATGAGACCCCATCTGAAAACAAACAAAACCCACTAAATAAAATAGAAAAGCTGGAGCAACTGCCACACTTCAGAGGAGCCCACAAAGACACAACTACATGTGTGAGTGGACGTGAGGGAAAGAAAGGGGATTGGATTAAGCCTTAGACCTTAGTTAAATTAGTTCACCAACACTAGTATCGGTACAAATGTACTAATTTGCCAAGTGTGTCACACACAGTGGCTATGAATAAGAGGACGTGGGCATGTGGCATGCTGAGAATCGCTGTAGGATCCTCACACTGGGCATGTGACTGTATTGCTCTCAAATAAAATGGTTGTTTGTTTCAAATGCATGAAAACCGAGTGTGCTCCTTACTGATCAGATACCATGCTCGCCAAGAGAAGCCAGACCCCTGAGCACAGCCAGTTGCCCAAGTGAAAACATTCACTATTTGTCTCCCTTGGCCCCTCACACTGGATTTCTAACATCCTTTCTTAGGTAATGCCGCCCTTCCCATTAGAGAACCCCCTTTGGGGATTGCATATCAGATACCCTACATTATGATTCCTAATGGTAGTAGAATTATGAAGCAGCGACAAAAATAACTTTATGGTTGGGTCACCATTACATGAGGGGCTGTATTAGAGGGTCCCAGCATTGGGAAGGCTGGGAATCATTGGCCTAGAGCTAAGCTCTTGGTGCAGGCACCAGTAAATGCTTCGCCAGGTGAATCTGAATAAGCCTTTTCCATCCTGGTTTGCCTCAGTAGTCTGCAGCTAGAGAATAAGGAAGTTTCCAGCTAACCTGGGATACCTGGGCCTTCTAAAACACCAGACTAGGATACTAGCCTGATAGGCACAAGGAGAACTTAAGTTCTGTCTTCAGCGAAAAAAAAAAAAAAAAGAATCCAAAAAGGCCTAAACATGCCAGCTGTGTTATACTTTAAATCCGGACATCAGATTACTCCTTTTAACACAAGCAACTGTTGATCTAGGTGATGCTCTGAGATTTCTTTCAGAAGTCTAAATTCTAATAGTGGTAAAGGCTATGGATTGGGAAGGGGCCTATGCATTTACTTGTCTGGACACAAAGGACTCATGATGTGTGTAGACTGGGCCCTCATGCTCACCTCCACTCCACCCTCACAAGCCCTGTCTGGATGCCAGACCTCCCTGACAATGAAGCCAAGGTCATGGTTGCTTCAAACAGCAGCCACATCATCAGGGCCTAGCACAGACCCAGAACATTTAAAGTACT